TTTTGAGAGAGCGTGTGCATGTGTACACAGGCAGGGGAGGGGCAGAGGGGCGGGGGAGAGAATTCTGGCAGGCTCCGTGCTGTCAGCATAAAGCCCAACATGGGGCTGGAACCCATAAACTGTGAGCTGAAATCAAGATGCCTAACTGAGCTACTGAGGTGCCACTTATAAAGGAAATATAGGGGCACCTGGGTGGCTCAGTCAGTTAGGTGTCTAACTTCGGCTCAGGTCATGATCTCACCGTTTGTGAATTTGAGTCCCACGTCAGGCCTTGTGTTGACAGCACAGAGCCTGCCTGGGATTCTCTGTCTGCCCTTCTTGTGTGCTCACTTGGTCTCTCTCAAAATAAATAAACTTAAAAACCAAATACATAAAAAATAAAAGGGGATTTAAGCCATAACAATGAAAGGTTCCAACAAAATGTTTCCTTTTAGTCACAAATCTTGTTTTTCTTAAAGACCTAATTGCCTGATAGTATTAAGTAGCATTTTTTGGTCATCTTTCATATAGTGAAAAGGAAAGCACTGCCTAGTTTTGTTTTTATCATGCTAAGTTAGAAGAGGAAAACAAGGCAAAAAGTTTGATCAACACAGTGCAAAGCATCCTTAAGAAAGTAAACCACATTCAGGTTTCCACTTTAAGTAGTGGGAATAGCAGCGGACATAGTGAAACTTTATAAGCTCCGACATGGACTTAGTGAATATTCTTTGCAGCTTAAGCAAATTTACAGTGCCCAGTTATATTTTTTAGTTGCTAATATAAGTACACAACAAGAGAAGTCAAGCACCTCTATTATTTTTCCCAGTTGGTGCAGGAAAAGGGAGGTATTCAAATATTACCACCTTCTGATGGTAAATAAACGGCAAAAGTGAAAACCTAGAGGAAACAGGTAAATAAATCTTCTCTGCTCAACAGAAAGAAACCATCCTTTAATGGCCATGGCACTGCTGAGCTATATCTCTGCACCTTTAATCAAGAAAGTATACAAACTATCTTGGATGACTGTCTCCCTATTTGTATAATTATTAGTCGATTTTTAATTATTAAAAATTAATTTGACTCTGCTTAGGAAGTAAAAAGGAATGAGTAAATGAGTAATAATAACATAGATTTTTACTCTTTTGTTTTGAAGATACTCTTATATATCACCTTTCATGATCAAAGCAATAGCCAGAACTAGGTAGGACAGATCCCCAACGATCACCCTTTCACAGAAAAGAAAGGTGGTGGAGAGGATAAGACACATAAAGGGCTGGGCAGTCATGGTTAGGATTTTCAGTTTTCTGGTTCATTCTTCATCAGTTCTTTAGCTCATGTGACTACAAAGATACTTAAATTGGAATGTGGGTGGTGGGAGGGAGGATGAATGTTCTAAAGGGGGGAAGCAAGCAAACCGGCAGTTCTAGAGTGAAAGTCCTCAGTGATTGTAATCTCAAAGAGATGGGCAGTTTATTCTCCTATCCTTTCCCAGAGACACACATTTGCTTTATTTATTAGGCTCATTCTGAGTTTTCAAAGAGCAGAAAGAACATTATGGCAACTTGCTCTTTTGCTATTTAGAATACAGAACCATTTCAACCCATATTGAATAGCCCTCCATAGAGTAAATCAACAGAATTTAATTTCTCTGATCTCCTATTCCTTTTGAATGGTTTTGGTCTTAATAGAGCAGTTTAATAACAAGTTTTGGATAATGTTTGCTATAATGAAAACTCAAGAAATGGATCAGGTTACCCGAGAAGTATTAAAATTTTGTTTTTATCACCTCAAAAATTTTATTATCGCCTCCCAGAGTTTAAAGAAGTTGACAGTGTTAAGTTTTAAGAAAGAAACTGCTAGAGGGCTCTGCTTAGGAGTGCTAGTGTGGGGGCACCTAGGTGGCTTAGTCGGTTGGGCGTCCGACTTTCGTTTAGGTCATGATCTCGCGGTTCGTGGGTTCGAGCCCTGCGTCGGGCTTTGTGCTGACTGCCAGCTCAGAGCCTGGAGGCTGTTTCAGAGTCTGTGATTCCCTCTCTCTCTGACCCTCCCCTGCTCACGCTGTTTCTCTCTCTCTCCTGGAAATAAATAAAACATTAAAAAAAAAAAAAAAAAAAGGAGTGCTAGTGTGAAAATAGGCAGATATTTCAGGTAAGCTCTCAGCAAATCAGAATTCCTCAATTTTTCTGAATTTGCAGTTTTTCTGGGGCTAAAATACCAGTACTGTTCACCTTCAGTTTTAAAAGTTATGCTAGCTGTCTTCATTACTGCTTAATCACTGTTCAGAGATCACACATCTGCCTTCCTCAGAAAGGGCCCTCACTTAACAGAGATTAAATTCTTCCTTGCAAACGGCTTTACTGCTCACCACATACCCATCAGTATTTTCCCTTTCTTTTCTTCCCCCCTTTTAAATGGACTCTTTATTAGAGCAGATTTTTCACAGCAAAATTAAATAGAGAATACATCCTTCATAAATCTCCTGCCTCCATCTTTCTGCTTTTGAAACCTTCCTTTGCCAACCCTGGGATCTTACTCTACCAGAGTTTCTGGTATTTTGATTCAGTCTGTATTGATTTTTTTAAGCGTGACCAGCTAAACACACTTCTTCCTTAATGTCTCTACTCAATCACCATATCTGGCTTTTTTACCTGCTAACCTTCAACAGTGATTACTACTAGCCCATTTCAAATGGGTATGCATGCACAGTTATGAAGGAAATCAGCCACCAGAGCTTCCAACTTGCACGTGTTTATGAGAACATGGCTGCAGTCAGGTTTAATTAAGAGCCCAGGTGGCTCAGGTGGTTGAACGTCTGAGGTCATGATCTCATGGTTTGTGAGTATGAGCCCCACATAGGGCTCTGTGCTGCAAGCTCATGCTCTGTCTCTCTCAAGGATAAATAAAACATTAAAAATTAAAAAAAAATCATTTCATAAAATACTTAAAATGTTTGGTATACTTCCCAGAAACAAAGTAGCTTTAATAACAGGGTAACAAACCCTTCTGCCAAGCAGGTGATTTCAAATATTGTTTTCAAAAGAAGTGAAGAAGACCTAACCAAACTGTCAGCTGATCGTTACATTTTTTGGTTGTTGTTGGTGGTGAATAATTATGTGATTTCTGTGTGGAAAGGAGTTAAAAAGTTTTTTTGGAACACTGCTATAACAAAACCTCTTTCATGTGTATCTTCCTATGAATAAGGTATCTCAGGTTTATATATTAAAAAAACAAGGGGCACCCGGGTGGCTCAGTCCATTAGGCATCCGACCGGCTCAGGTCCTGATCTCTCAGTTTGTAGGTTCGAGTCCCGGGTTGGACTCAGTGCCGACAGCTCAGAGCCTGGAGCCTGTTTTGGATTCTGTGTCTCCCTCTCTCTGCTCTTCCCTCTCTCTCTCCCTCAAAAATAAACTTTACAAATAAATATAATTGGGGCTGGATCTGTCTCATTCTAGCAGTATGTGATGTTTATGCACAGATACAGGAATTGGGGCTAGGGGAGGAACAGCCCCACCCATTTAATTTTGACACACTTCCAGTAACGTTTAATATTTATCAACATGTGATACATGCCTACTGTTTGTTAGATGAGTAGGAACGGAGATAATTCTCAGTCTGGAAAAACAAGGGACTTTTAGCCTTACGGTCTTACAAAAAAATTGTTTCATTTTCAAATTATTTTTTTTGACTGCACAGAAAAATGACAAGACTAGTCAATAAATCTTTGACCATAAATACGTTAGAATAAAGTGCTTTGTAGTAAGCAGAATAAAAATACAAATATGAATAAGAAAAGGCAGAGTAATTTACATATTTTAGTTTATATTTTTAAATGTTGATGGGTATCAAACTCATTAAATTTAGATTTCTTTCAGTGCTTTTCAAAGGGTGGTGTAACTTTTTTAATGTTTATTTTTGAGAGAGAGAGAATGGGGTAGGGGCAGAGAGGAGGGAGTCAGGATCCAGGCAGGTGCTACGGTGTCAGCTGATGCCGGGCTCGAACTCACCCACCATGAGACCCCGACCTGAGCCACCCAGGTGCCCCTGAAGTTACAGTTTCGTACAATCGTTTTTAGGAGTATGCAGGCATACCATTACTTCCAGGTTGTGAAATACAAGATCCAAATATGCCTATTGTAGGTAACGAAATGATACCAAAAAAAGTTCTATCTAGAAAAGCACTTCGTTCTAACATGCCAGAGTAGTATGACACAAGTCTCCCCACAGGCCTTCTAGACTTTCTGGTACAGTATGTTCTGTGCAAAAGCAGGAATGAATACACAGCTATCTCTCCAAATGCCTCTTAATCACAGTGCTGTCAAAGACATTCTAATGCTTTTATACAAGAGAAATAGTTACACTTGAAAAAAAATACACACACACACTAGAAAGCGGACGGGGCTTTGGAATCAGGCCTGAGTGGAGTCCAGGCTCTACACCCAATACCTGCCTTGGGGCGTGGGTGCCCAGCCCTGGCTGCAACCTTGACGTGCTCCAAAGTGACAGGCCCCGAGGAGGGGGCAGCTAGCCTTCCACTGTCTTCACCCAGCTCCTCACCTGGCTTCGGGACGCGAGGGAGGCCATTTCCCTTCGCTCGTATACAAGATGCCCGTGCCCACGTCACAGCGCTGGACTGCTACGACACAAGTGCCACCGCTCGTACCGTGGGTGGGTTCAAACTAGCACCGCCCTGTTGAGCACGCGGAGGCCAGAAAGTGAAGGATGCGTAGATTCCACTAGAAACCTGGCCGCGTCACCCTCCCGCAGTCATTACCCTGGAGGAGAGGTGGTCGGGGGACAGCTAGCAAAGCCTGGGGCCTAGAGGGCGGGGGGGCCACGGATGCGGCTGAGCATCCTACAACTCGCAGGGCAGCCACCCCCCACAGCACCATCCCGCCCACGCCGACAGTGCGGGCCGGTGAGGGGAAGCCGGTGCAAGGGTCCTCGCTGTCTAACTGCAGGGTCCGGCGGACACGCTGCCGCTGCGTCTACTTCCCGGACTCGCGCTCGGGCTTACACCTTACCTCAGACGCCGCCTCAGGCGCTCTCAGCCCCCGGAGAAGCCTCACCTGCCGCTAGAAGGTGCGCAGCGGCGCAGAGCCTGCCGGGAGCACGTGCCCACGGCCGTCAGCCAGCAGCGCCTCCCGCGCTCAGCTTTGTTACGCCAGGCGGGCTCGGCGTCACTTCCGGTACAGACTCTCGCCGGCCCCGCCCCCAGCGCGTCCGTAACCCGGGGCAACTGTCGCCCTCGCCGGCGGGCGGGGACTTGGCTGTCCGGGGGCCTTCCATCCCGTGGTCCCCACAGAAGGGGGTGAGCGGCTACGGCCGCTTCCCCGCCTCCGGGCCAAGGCCCCGGACCACTGCACCGGCGGCGGAGCGAGAGGCCCTGCCCAGTGCGAAAAGAAGCTGCCCTCAGGCGGGAAGGCAAAAGGGAGAGGTAGTGTGCGACGCGGCTGAAACGCGAGTGGGCGGGGCCTGGGAGGAGTGTCGAGGGAATGGGTGGGGCAGTGGGCGGGGCCGGTGAAAGGGCGGAGCCTTCTGGGGGAGGAGCCAAGGCAGGAAGGGCGGGCGCCCGTGGACCCGTGGGGACGTTGTGGTGGAGCGGACCGCTCTTGAAAGAAGGGTAGGCATCTCTTGTGACACCATAGGAGCTGCTGGATGCTGGAGGAAGAGGAGGAACTAGATGGGGAAGAAAAAAGGATCTGGAAGAAGGGAAAGAGACTGGGGGAAAGGGAGGGGCTAGTCTAGTAAACGGAAGAGTCAGCTGTGAAGCGCCTGGGCCTCAGGAGAATCAGGTGGAATGCGTGTATCTGCGCTTCCATGTAGACTTGTAAACTGAGTGATACCGAGGAGACAGGCGTTGCTTTGCTATTTTATTCCCAGAGCTAGGCATCTAATAGGCACTTAGCGAGGGAATGGGTGTGAGTGGAAAGAGCGGAAAGGTTGGAGACTGGCACTGCAGTAAAACAAGGTCTGATTTGGAGGGGGTGATTCCCCCAGGAATAATTCTGTGCGTCGTCAAAGCTACTGTGCTCTGTGGGCGCATAATAAGCATAAGGCACAGATAATTAACACGGGGAGATAAGATTTATACTCTTGAAAACGTGAACAAATTGTGGGGAGTGGTGCATGTGCTTAACTTTGAGGCAAAGATTCGACTCTCTGCCACGTTGTGTGCCCATACTGTAAATTAGATTGAAGTCTTCAAATCATTTTCCTTTAGAAACTATATTACCAGGGATCGACATGCCCAAGCCTATCTTTAGGATTTATTTAACCACTTCATATGCCTGAAGCTTAATTCTGTATTGAGAAACTTCACTTCTACCATGCCTCACAGTGTTCCGATTCGTTGATTTCCTCACTCAACACATTTGTTAAAGATCCACAGGAACAACCATTCAGAATTCCACCTGAGGCTGCCAGGAACCCATCTTTCCCTCTTGGCTGAAATTCTGACATAGATTCAAGATTCCTTTAAACATGAAACTTCCAGGAAGATGGAGGTGGGTGTAGGGCATGGTGTAGAGCCAAGCAGGTGGCAAGGAGATTTGAGGGATTATAGCTTGCTTTTGACTTAAACGACCTGGGCTTTTCACCTCCTCCCCTGGCCCATCAACATTTCCCCCACCATTATTTGCCTGGGAATGTGTCAACCAGGTGTAGGAATTTGGGTAAGGCATTTGGAATCTTTTTTATAAGCAATGGCAAATAGGTGGCACATGTGTTACCACTTTTGATTCCCCGGCAGGACATCCTTAATTAACCACAGGCCTCTTTCCTCCAGTGGCTAAGTCTTAACATCCTTCTCAACACAACCCTCTAGTTGTATTGGAACTCTTTGGAACTGACAGTTTGGAACCTTTCTTCATCCCTAACATAGACAATAAATTTTTTAAAAAAAATTTAATGTTTATTTATTCTTGAGAGAGACAGAATGTGAGGAGGGGAGGGGAATAGAGAGAGGGAGACATAGAATCCAAAGCAGGCTCCAGGCTCTGAGCTGCCGCACATAGCCTGATGTGGGACTTACACTCAGGGATTGCCAGATTGTGACCTGAGCCAGTCAGACACTTAACCGATTGAGCCACCCTAGCACCCCTAAACATTTGAAAAAGAAATAGACATCAATGTAAATGTACATTTCTATAACTCTTGGTAAGATTCCTTTTTTAAAGAAATGGGTGTACTTGGGTGCTCAGTCGGTTAAAGTGTCTACCTCTTGATTTTGGCTCACATTATTATCTCACGGTCATGACATTGAACCCGGAATTGAGCTCCATGCTGAGCATGGAGCCTGTTTGGGATTCTCTCTCTCCCTTTTCCTCTGCTGCATCCCTGCCTGGTCGTGCTCATGCATGCACTCTCTGTCTGTCTGTCTCTCTCTCAAAAAAAAAAAAAAAAAATTGACTAAATTGATGGGTCAAGAATCTGGTAGATGAAATTTATACATATAGGCCAGATATCTGTATAGTGAGGTGAATTTGCAGCTGGTTGGTATTTAATAAATGCCCAAGTACAAGGCATATCCTCATGGCATTGTTCTTTACCTTCTCCTCGCCAATATTTTATCAGTGACTTAAATGAAGTAAGAGGAGGTATGTCCATCAAACTTATAGAGTGTAAAGTGGGAAGGAATGGCCAAACTGTGGGGTGTAACAGTCAGATTCACAATTATTTAAGCAGGTTGGAATGGTGGTCCAACATGGAGAAAATTTTAGAAGGATCAGATTCATTTAGAGGTCTCTATCTAGCAAAAAAAAAAAAAAAAAAAAAAAAAGAGGAAAAAAGAAAAACTTCAAAAAGACAATTAACAGCATGTATATGGAGTGAAGAAGACAGGGACTGTTAACAATTCATGGGGGGAAATAAATGTAGATGTTATAGTTGATCCCAAGCTCAGTGTTAATCAAGATTGTGATATACCTTTAAAAAAATGTAGTAATCTTTTTTCAATTAGTAGGTGTAGATTTCAGATCAAAGAGAGTCAGATTTCAAAACAGACATTTCTAGCCAGACCACATTTGAAATATTATCCTCATTTCCAGGTAATTATTTTATTTTAAAGACATTGACAGGCAATGGTGCATTCTTAAGATGAGGGAATTTGGGATTCCCATCTGAAGAAATAATAACTGTCTTCAGTTATTTTCAGGATTATCATATGTTGCTTTTGGGAGGAACACCAGGAACTGAGAAGCATAATTTTCAGGCTTGCACATGTCTTGTTTTGAGAATACTCTAATCTTTAGAGCTACCAGGGGAATGAAAAAAGATGCTTGTAAAGTAATGAGTTCTCAGTTATATGATTGTAAAGCTCCATGGAAGTGAGGGAAGTGGAAGAGCATGACCTATTGATTTACCTCACATCCGTATAAACTAGGCATTTGACTATCAGAAAATATGACTATGACATCCATGCAGATTTCTGCAATTCAGCATCAAAGTAAGAGTACATACAATTTGTAAGAAATCACATATCCACTCTTTTAGTTGATCTTTAATTGCTTCTTGTACATTTTTTTAAAATTTTGTTAATATATATTTATTTTTGAAAGAGACAGAGTGTGAGAGGGGAAGGAGCAGAGAGAGAGGGAGACACAGAATCCGAAGCAGGCTCCATGAAATCATGACCTGAGCTGAAGCTGGATGCTTAGCCAACTGAGCCACCTTCTTGTACATTTCTATTTGTTATCTCTTACATGAGCTGGAAGACAAGAATGGGCAATAAAACTTGAAGACATGATTATTGGAGAAAAAATTTAAATTAAGACTGTTCTTTCCACTGACTTTTTTTTTTTTTTTCTAATTAGAAAAGACCACCAGCATTCTGTCTTAGTACTATAGCTTCCCGAGCCAGCTTGAACATTAGTGTTCCAGAGGAGCACCTTACATTCTGGTATGCAGTAATCTCACCATTTCACTAAGAATTACTATGGTTACCGACTTCAGAGATGATTCTTTGTTTTTGGTCATAAGGAGACAATATTGTTCCCATGATCCTCCATTAAATGAGTCAAATAGTTACAAAATGCAGTATTTATAACAAATACATAAAGTGCTTACAACCACACCTGGCGCATAGGGAGAACTATGTAACAGTGCTTATTATTATTATGTAATATTATCATTACCTGGGTTTCTTTTGGCACTTTGGAATATGATGTGACTGGCACTTCTGGTACCCTCACTGGGTCCGCCTTCCACTGACTCCAGAATAGGGCTTTCCCCAAGGCCCTTCCACTGTTCCTCTGTCTCGATGTAGACACACATAGAGATAATATTGTCTTCCTCTCAGATTTCACATTTTCTCATGACCTCTGAGAAATAGCTGGAGGAGCTGGAGACGGTTAATCTGGAAGAGAGAACAGTACGTGGAACCTTTTCATAGGGCTGTCGGAAAGCTGAGGCCTCTGGCAGTCTTTGGATCAATGACTCTTCAACCTTTTGTAGTGACAGGCAGCTTTGTGACACTGACGCAGGCCCCTTCCTGAACAAAATGAGCATTTTCAGAGGTGTCCTAGATGTTGTGAAGCCCAGCCATGGATGGGAAGGCTTCCCATCACAGAGCCTTGCTCTGGAGTGCAAATGAGGGCATGAAGGTGAAGGATATTGAGAAAGCAGGAAAGCCAGTGCTGGTTCGATATAAGCAAGACCTTCCTCACAACTCTGGTGCATTGTACAGTCTCCCAGTCTGGTTTTTACAACAGCGATGGCCAGACTGCCCAGACCAATTAGAACCAGAATCTCTCTGGGTAGGGTGTGGGCATCACGATTCCGAGGTGCTGCCAACTCTGAGAACCAGTAAATTAGAGCACTTTGCCATTATAACAGACTTTCTAAGTGGTAAGCACCTTGCCAGTAGAGATACTTCAAACACAGAGCTTTTTTTCTTATTGATTTGAACATTCTAACTATACTTAATCTTTCCTGAACCGTATCTACTTCTTTTCTCTATTACCCTCAAGTGTCCAGTTATTATTTAAATAAATGGCTTTGCTTTTGACTCTGATTTTTCCTTCTGAACTGTACGCTTGTTAAGTCTTTGGGATTCTGCAGTACAAATGCTTTTGTAATTCGGAAGAGAGCAGGACCGAGTCAGGAGCTGCTATGGCCTGAGCAGGGCCTGAAGTGGAGTTTTACAAGGTGGAGAGACCAGGCTGGTTTGTACAATCTGGTCCTTAATCATGCTTCTGTTTCTAAATAGAATAGCACTCCTGGTTTTTAGTCACTTCTTTTCCTCCCTTTCCCCCCCCCCCCCTTCAGATTTCATTCATTTCCTCTGATTTCACAACTGGAAAAGATTAGGATGCCCAAAGATATTTGACCTTCCATAGGTAATTGGAACTTTAGTAGCATCAAAATGCCGCTTTAAGCCTTTATGAAAAAGTCAAAATGGTAATTAAACAGATTTTGTTATAAGAAGTTACCTCAACAGAAAATTTTACAAGCTGGCTTCTGGTAGGGCTCACGTCAGGGTGAGAGAAAGCAAAGTGTGTGGTTCCCAGTGGCCCCTGCATCATCATGAACAAGGAATGCCCAGGAAGGCACCAGGTGTTCCTCGGCATTTAGCCGCACCGTTGGAGGCCCCTGGGCACTGGGATTCATCTCTGCAGCTTGTGGGGTCCCAAGGAGGAGCCTCTGTCTGTGGGAAGGTACTATAAGCATACCCATCTTCTAGATGAGCAAACAGACCCAGAAAAGTAATTTGCCCAAGGTCGTACAGCTAGTAACAGGAGTGGAACTCTGGCGTTTGGCAACCAAGTCTGTGCTCCTGATCAGGACTATGATCCTAACTCTGACTGGATTCCCAATGACAAGTTCCATTTTTCCACCTTGGAAACCATCAGTTAAGGATACACAGTATCACCCTGAGCGTCGCTGCCCCTGCTCCCATTACCGCCACATGGGTACTAGTGTGTGTGGGGACTGCCATGCCATGGCACAGGTTACCACAGGCTGAGCAGCTCAAACACCAGAAACGTACTGCCTCACAGTTCTGGAAGCTGGAAGTCCGAAATCAAGGTATCGGCAGAGTTGGTTCCTTCCGAGGGCCGTTAAGAGAAGGATCTGCTCCACGACCCTCTCTGTGGTTTGCAGTCTTCAACCTGGGCCTCCTCACATGGCCTCCCTCCCTGCGTGTCTGTGTCCAGATCACCCTTTTTGTAAGAACATCGGTCATCCAGGGTAGATTAGGGTGAGCAGACTGACTTAGCCTAGACCACATGCTCCCAGCCTCGGCCTAGTGTCCGGAGTTGCCGGAAAGGGAAAGAAGAGGCTGGGGTATACGCATACTCAACGTATTTCCCATGGTGTTAGCACAGTAGCATCTGGACTGTTCTGGAGTGGAGGGGAGGGATGCTTCCCCCTATATTGCTTGCTGCACTCTACCCCATGACGAGGGATAGAGACTGAACTAACATCTTCCTGTCTGCTTTTCTTTGATCTCAACTTCAGTCTTTAATTAAACCCATTAGTCTTCCAAATTTGCCGTATCTTTTATAATATTAACAGCTGGCAATGGATGCTTTTGTAATATTTCTTCTCAGTCTATCCATGAATGTGTCTTGACGTTATTTCACCTGAGTTAATGAGTTGATTTTTAAGAAACCGATATTAAAAACTAACTTTAGCCGGCATTTCATGCTACAGGAAGAAGATGTTAAAAACCTTCAGCAGCTGTCACAGTAATGGATCTCTGTCAGGAAAATGAGGCTGAGTTAGAAAACCGTGAAAACAATGAGACTCAAAGCCCAGAAGGAACGGAATTAACCTATACTTGCGCAGATGAAAGAAGTGAGAAGAGTCACGTTTGTTGTCTTCTTAACATCAGCGACATTACGCTTGAACAAGATAAAAAAGCCAGAGACTTTGTCATCGGAACTGGATGGGAAGAAGCTGTGAGTATCTTCTTCACTGAAATGTCTCACACATCTGTGTTTTGGTGCAAGCCTTTCCTTTTGCTTTTTCAAAAATAGTTATTACCAAAGACAATGTATAGGCGATCAAGATAGGAAGCTTAGGAATAGAGGTGCAATATAAATAATGATAATAGTAGTGCCTTTTATCGGGTATTTGTGGCCAGTTAGTATTGGCCAGCACAGGACTCAATGCTTCACACACATCAATTCATTAAGCCTCTCAGGAGCCCTATGAAGCAGGTGTTATTGAAGCCTTACTTTTTGGACAAGGACAGTGAGGCGCCCAAAAGGTGGAAGAGTGTGCCAGAGGCCACCCAGCCAGTGGCCAGGGCAGGGCTTGAACCTAGCTCTTCTGGACTCCAGAACCCAAGCTCCTTAACTGGTGGGCTAAGTTCACCAAGAAATGTGAGATTTCCGTTCTAGTGGTTCCACTCAGAACCCTGTGGGTTTATTCTTAAACTATTCTTAGAATCAATACTAGAATCCTAAATTTAGAACTGTAAGGATGTCACATTGGAAAAGATTAGGATGTCCAAAGACATTTGACCTTCCATAGTTATGTGGAACTTTATTAGCATCCAATTCAGGGATTCCCAGTGATGCTTGGCAATGTCCCACAAACTAGGAGTGAGGGGAAGGGGGTGCTCCTGGCATCTACCTGGCTGAGGCCAGGTGTGCTGCTGCATATCCTGTAGTGCCCAGGACAGCCCCCCGCTACAGGGTGTGGTCCAGCCCTGGGTTCATTCAGGGCCGCCATCACAGACTACCACAGACATTTCTTCCAGAGGGTGTGCATCCAAGATCCGGGTGCCAGCATGGTTGGGTTCTGGGTGGGGAACCTCTTCCTGGTTTTGTGCTCACACAGCCTTCCTTGGTGGGGCAACTCTTCTAAGGGCACTGATCCCATTATGAGGGCCCCACCCTCTTGACCTCATCAACCCTCGTCACTTTCCAAGGCCCCACCTCCGAATTCCATCACTTTGGGGATTCGGGCTTCAACATAGGGATTTGGAGAAACACATCACACAATCCATAACACACCCTAAATGTCAGAAGTGCTGAGGTTGAGAGACCCTGATCTGATTATGAACATGGAAACGGAGGCCAAAACACGGCAGAGCAACTCCCCCAGTCCACTTGACGGTTGAAGGAGTCTTGTCTTTAGGACCCTCGTTTGTGCTCTCTCGCGGCACCACCCCACCCCTGCCTGGCTTACACACAGGCTCCCGCCCAATCAGTCAGCGTTACAGACCTGAGGATCTAAGACTTTCCAAGTTTAGAAGGTTCTGTTTACTATTGGAAAGTAACAACTTTGAAATGTGTATGTCCAAGGACTGTCGGAAAAGAATTTTCTTTTCATTGGAAGAAATGCTGCATGTGCCCCGTGATCAGAGTATGTTTGCTGCTCAGGTCTGTCAAGGATGATCATGCCACGCCATCTCCTCCCACCTGCCCCCTGCTGCCCTTCACCCTCTCCTGACATCCAGCCCTGCCTGGCTTCTTGGGTGGCCTTATCTCGGGAGGGGTGACAGAGGCCTGTCCAGCCAAAGCTAGCTACCTGCCCTGGCTCGTGGTCCTTTAGTACTTCCTGTGCTGGTGCCAAGGGCCTGGCACCAGTGGGGGGAGGTGTCCTTAGGCATACACAGTGCAGGACAGCGACCTTACAGCCCCATGTATAACTGCCATCCAACCTAACTATGCAAAAGAAAATGGGTTGGTTTTTTGTTTTTGTTTTGTTTTGTTTTGGTTGGAATATATTCAAGATATCAGTGCAGCTTTGGTAAGAGCTAGGACTTTGGCATAAGAAAGACCATATTCAAACTCACCACTTACAGGCAGCTAACCTCAGGGAGGGGTCCTGCCCCTGGCTTCAAGTTCTTCATCAGTAAATTCTGCCATAGTGGTGTATGTGGAGGTCTGGAATGCCCAATTCAGTGTCAAGCACTTACTAGACTTTTAAAAGAAGTGATGCTTAACACGAATTTTTAACTGGAGGAATTTGGGGAGCTGAGCATTCTCTTTTATTTTTTTTTAATGTTTATTTTTTAGAGAGAGAGAGAGCAGGCATGCGTGCCCAGAAGCAAGGAAGGGGCAGAAAGAATCCCAAGCAGGCTCTGTGCTGTCAGTGCAGAGCCCACCGCAGGGCTGGATCCCGTTATCCTGGGATCATGACCTGAGCCAAAGTCAAGAATTGGATGCTTAACTGACTGAGCCCCCCAGATGCCCCATAAGTCAAACAGTTCTGATTTTAAGAGTTGTGGCCTTATTTTAACGTGCATCTGAAAAAGTATACAGTCAAGACATGAAGATGCGCATTTTTGCTTAGTATTTTAGTATTAAACTCTATAGCTAGTGTTTCAGATGAACAAATACTACTACAAATGCTATTACAAATACTATCACTTAGTATGAGGCAAAAAATAGAATTAAAAATTTTTAAAAAATGGTGAGTCAGTTGTAAGAAAAGTATCAGTTCAAATAGGATGGCCCAAATGGGGGTGTGGCCACAGCTGGGGCAGCTGGAGTTTGAGCAGCTTGGCCGCAAGTAACATGCTGTTTTTTGTGTTTTTTTTAATGTTTTATTTATTTCTGAGAGAGAGAGAGAGAGAGAGAGAGAGAGACAGCATGAGCAGGAGAGGGTCAGAGAGAGAGAGAGAGGGAGACACAGAATCTGAAGCAGGCTCCAGGCTCCGAGCTGGCAGTCAGCACAGAGCCCGACGCGGGGCTCGAACCCACGAACCGTGAGATCGTGAGATCATGACCCGAGCCAAAGTCGGACGCTTAACCAATTGAGCCACCCAGGCGCCCCAGTAACATGCTGTTTTATTTGCAGGTTCAAGGCTGGGGAAGGACACCTCCAACTGCCTGCATCTGGCCCAGGAAGAAGCTTAAAAAGGCGAGGGTGGGAGAAAGTGCCAGCAGCTGCTTACTCTGTGTCAGTCTCTCCCAAGGGAGTTCTGAGGCCAGGTCTCAGTCAGAGGTGGGGAAGTTGGGGTCCGTGGGTCCGGAGGAGGCTCAAGGCAGCCCCTCCCAGACTCCGGGGACCCGCCCAGGCCCCGCCACAGCCTCCAGGGAGATCAGCAAGATCTGCTTTCCCCACTCCAGTCAGGGAGAGAAAAAAAGTCTGCAAATAAAGGAGTTTATTTGGTGCAAGGAAGACTGGGCCACCCCTGAGGCTATTCGGGGCAAGGGCCCCGGAAGTCCCAGCCGAGGCCCCTCCGTCTCAGACTCCTTGACATCCAGGGCCCTGTTAGTACTACCTCCCCTGAAGGCTTCACTCCCAAAGGGCTTGGATGTTCTGGGTAAGAAGAGTAAGAACATTTTCTTGCAGCCGGAAGAGAAGGTGCTGAGTGTGGAAAAGGATGAGTGTGTGGCTTGTGCGTATGGATTGAAAACGGTTGACGGGAAAGGTGAAATGAGACCTGTGGAGTTGGCCAAGCCCCCTAAGGCCAGTGACACACTGCCTTCCCCTCCCCGGGCGGCCCCGGCTCCCCTGCTGGCCGATCACGAGCGAGGCTGCCTTCATTGGTCTCTGCTGCCTGAGAAACACCTGGTGCGCCCTCCCAGTCCCGGCAACGTCCGCTACCTGGCCACCGTGCAGCTTTTGCAGAAACAGGGAGCGCCAAACAACAAAGCCAAATTCAAAGGCAGGGAGCCAAGACCTGCCGTGAACACCCAAAAGCGCATTCTCACGGAGGCCAAGCAGGAAAACAGGCCCAAAACGTTGGAGACCAAAGTGTTCCCGAGAACTCTCTTGCCCTCCCTCACAGTGAGCAGAGTCGTTATTCCCATCTCCACTCACAGACTCCTCTGAGTTGCCACAATAGAATTCCCTGGGAATGAGCACCGTTTGAAATTCATTCATCCTCTCCCTGTGTCACCCTCCCCGTCCCAGCCTTCTCTTCTGCCACACTCTCCCCTCCCACGCTCCCTTCCCTTGCCCCTTTTTTTTGTAGTAGAACCAGAGGAAATTGAACCTCATTGCATGGGTTCTGATTTATTCTCAAAGCTCCCATATCTATGTGTCACCTGCTTCTGTTGCCTAGCCATTTACAAAACTCAAGCTGGTAATACCATTCTCGCCGCTGCCTGCCTCCTCTCTCTACTCCCCGCTGGAAGCCGCGTGGATGGCGGGGACTCTGAAGGGAGTCCCTCAGTGAGGCCCATGTCAACCCTAAGCCAACTGGCAGGGGCTCTCTCCTCCCCACCCCTGTGCCTTAAGCTTAGTGTAGGAGCTTGTTTAGACCAAATTGTTTCTCGAGCCAGGCAGATATCGATCTGTTGCCTCATTTTCGCTTGCAACAAAGATCTGAAACACTGCTTTCATAGATAACTCCAGCCTGTGTCCAAATGAATATCCTTGCGTCCAAGATGTCCTAACCTTCTATCCACGGATATATCGTACCCACAACACGCTGCGTGTCCCAGGGTTCATATACTTTCAGCCTCATGCTCGTCTCCATGTCTGGAAAAGCTTTAGCCACAGCTCCATAAATACAGTCCATCTTGGGAAGCAGGTTAAGAATAATTATTATTTTTTAAATGTTGTTATCATTATTGTCACCCTACATGCTTCTTCAGCCTTACCTTGAATCTAATATTTGGGAACTCTACAACCCCGGACAGACACTTATGGAATAGGGATGTTACTTTCTCCCCTCTCCTGTCCCCCTTCTTCCCTCATTTTACCCCAGTACATATTTCCTGAAGTTGTATATAAATTAAACATTTGTAAATGAGTTATATTTTAAGTGCCAAGTGACCATGCTATGTAGAGAAATGCTCTGAAAAACCATTTTGTCATATGAATAACCATTTAGCCGCTCTGTAATTACGTAGTTTGCATTTGCTTAAGGTAGGTTGTACTTTGGATTTCTGTCCCCCAGATGATGGGTAGACAGGATATATGATGGTATTTGTAAACATCTGCTTTCTGTAATTGGTCTTTGTAATGTCTCTTACTTTAGGTGGGTTTTGTTCTGTTTTGTGGTTTTTGCAAAACACTGGAAATGCAGAAATGGTTATAGTACAGCGGTCATTAAAAGGTGTATTTTGCCTTCTAAGGTTGGACGCTTCTTTATAGTTTAGAGGCAGTTTTTAGGTCCCGCCCACCCCTTCTTCCCTGCAGAAACCGTCTGGATTCTTCCCCCGGGAAGCAGCTCTGATTTCTCACCGTGTGTGGACTATGGAGTGTTGGACACGGTGCTGTGTGAGGGCCCTCCGGCTCCGCACCTGCCCACCTAAGTCAGTGGTTCTTCAAGTCCCCTCTTTTAAAGAGCAGGATAATGACTAAGCTCAGTACATGTAAAATAGGCGAAAGCATCTTGGGAGAGAAGCGTCTACCAGCGCGAGTGAGGGACAGAGCTGCCCACTCAGTCCAGAGGTGTTTACATTTTGAGATCTCAAGGCAGTTTGAAAATACTGATCTAAGTTAAAACAGAATTTGTTTTTCTTTAGAAAAATTCTTTGTTGAGATAAGGGTTATAAATTCTATAGATTTGGGAGTAAACATAATAATTTAGAATTAGGAGGGCAGTTCTAAACAAAGGAAGGGCCCAAATTTAAAGATTTGTGGTATCCTTCCTTTTGAGCAAATAATTAATCTGGCCAACAAAATATTGACTAGGAGACTTTGTGAATAGATAGGCACATTTCACATTTGGCACCTCTTTAAGTAATTTTTCAATTAACCTGATTAAGCTCCTCTGGGACCTTATTTGCATTAGCCTGGGCTTGTTTTGTGTGGAGAAAAATCACTCCAGGTTTTGCCTGTTTCTATTCAGATTAAATCAGGACATCCAGACTGATGTCCAAGTCTAATGTTTATTTTTAATTTTTTTAATGTTTGTTTATTTTGAGGGAGAGGAACAGAGTGTGAGCAGGTGACGGAGAGAGAGAGGGAGACACAGAATCTGAAGCAGCTCCAGGCTCCAAGCTGTCAGCACAGAGCCTGATGTGGGGCTCGAACACACAAACTGTGAAACCATGACCTGAGCCGAAGTCGGACTTTCAACTGACTGAGCCACATGGGTGCTCTGATGTCCAAGTCTAGAGAAAGGCTAAATGTTTCATAAAATGCAGCCCTGATTAGAGTTCTAGGTCGCCAATAAAACTTTCAGGGGGAAATCCCACCATTTAAGGGTGTTAAGCATGTTAACATGGGCTCATTTAGGTTTTGGATCCTCTAGTCTTCTCTCAACCAAGCACATTGTGAGGCTGTGTTTCATCCCTTGTTCTATTAGTTTTGGATGTCTCATTAATAAGACTTTCCAAACTTCTATTCTTTTTTTTTTTTTTAATATTTTTTTATTTCTAGCTAGGAGAGAGAGAGAGACAGCGTGAGCAGGGGAGGGTCAGAGAGAGAGGGAGATACAGACTCTGAAACAGGCTCCAGGCTCTGAGCTGGCAGTCAGCACAGAGCCCGACGCGGGGCTCGAACCCACAAACCGCGAGATCATGACCTAAGCGAAAGTCGGATGCTTAACCGACTAAGCCACCCAGGCGCCCCGAAACTTCTATTTTTCTTGAAACCTTACAAATCACCAAATGGAACTGTGGCAGCGCCTGACCCAGGGCTCCTTAGGGCCCGAGGCCATGTTCTGGAAGAGGCCAGGCTGAGGCCTGGGGTGCTGCTGAGGGTCTGGGTGAGGCAGGGGAGGAGCTGGAGGGGCGGGAAACCTGGACAGACAGACGTTATCCTGACAGAGAGATGAGGGGGTGGCACTTTTGAAGGGCGAAGGGAAGACTTTAAACCAGAATAAGGTCTGGCTTCATTTGGACAATTATGTAGGACTGTGGCTACTCAGGGAGACTTTCGCTCATTTTCAGCTTTATTCTTTTTATTCTGGACTTGGCTCCCTTTTGTGAAATCTACCTGTACTTCAAGGACCATGCTATAAAATGATTTGAACCCAGAATCAAGTTGGTTCTTACTCTCCTTCTCTCCCAAGTTCAAGGGCTTCAGGACCCAGAGAGACCACAGAAGCCCAGTCTATGTCTCTCTGGGTCTCCCCAACTGGCCAAGAGGGCCAAGCTGCATGACTGGAGGACTCACATCTGGGGCTCCTTGGGGTCCAGTGCCCGTGCCACCTTAGTGCTGCATTAGGGGGCTACAGAGAAGCAAGGTGGGGAATAAACAGAGGGGTTCCTATGGCTGTGACCACGGGCATATCAGGGCTGTCCCTGGTACCTCAGGGAGCACTCTCCCACTGTCTGCCAGGCTCACTGGGACCCTGGCACCCGGAGACCATCATGCCGCGCTCCTGCTGTCCAGACTAAACTTGGCCCGGAGTTCAATTAGCCACACAATGCAAGGATTCCCTTGAATGTACAAGGCGCTGTTCTTTCTAAGGGTTCTAAGCCCCTTCTGGGTATTAGTCTCTTATCCTGAGCAAATGCATGGGGGTCAAGCATCATTTTCTCCTATGACCCAAGGAGAAATCAATCAACAGAGAGAGTGTTCAGTCAGGCCAATTCCCAGGTATGGAATACCTGGAGGCCTGGGTAGAAAATATCACATAAGGCAGGAAGGAGGGCTGGAGAATGCCATTCCTTCCTGTAAGATGGGAACAATTTCAGACACAGGATGTGGTGAAGAAGAGGAGGTAATGTACGTAAAATGCCAACAGAGATGCGTGATATTTTTTAATGTATTGATCAAATCAAATATAAGTAACTGGATCATTTCCCTTTAATGAATGACTGGCTACTTAAAATTGTCGAGGAGTGTGTGGGTGGCTCAGCTGGTTAAGCATCCGACTCTTGATTTTGGCTCAGGTCATGATCTCACAGTTTGTGGGTTCGAGCCCTGCTCTGCTTGAGGTCCTCTCTCTCCTCCTGTCTCTGCCCCTTCCCTGCTTGTGCTCTCTCTCTCATAAACTTTAAAAAAAAAAAAAAACTTTAATAAATAAACTTTAAAAAGAAAAAAGAAAAAACAAAATCGTTGGGAAATCCTGTGGACATGTCGAGTTGTCATTTGGAGTTTGAGGAGCCTTTACTCTCTAAGAGTCCTCAGACCACAGCTTTGCAACTTGTTGCCAGATGCTCCTGGCTTGGGATTACTCAATCCATGGGCTGCCCTCTCTTCCTGGCCCTTTCCCTCGAGCTGTTTTGCCTGACTTTCCACTGCACCAGTCTGAATACTCGCTTTGCAGATTAATATCATATACGTAAGTAAAACGAGAAGCGTATTCCTTTCTCCTAGGAGTTGAATTGAGGCATTTGTTTTTTTCTATAACTGGGTTTACTTGCCCTTGCTTTACAAAATTAAGGGATTGGTACTAAAGGACTTTCCTAATTCTGTCATTTTGGTGCAGTTAACTTGCCTACAAAATACATAGTGAATTTCAATTCATACACTTCAAAAGTTGTTTATTGTAACCAGTCCTGAAGATATTTTAAAAACATTGTTTTTACGTAATACCACGAAGACTCAACCTTCTCTAGTAACACATGCTCTCTAAACACACATACTACTTAAAGGATCCAACGGCCCAGCCTGATATGGCCATCTACAGCAATGCTTAAATTTCCACCCCACCAACTGGCCCTATCCCTAGGGCAGCGTTCTTCAGCACAGGCATTCTTGACTTTGGGGCTGGATAATTCTTTGTGGGGACTGTTTTGTACAAAGAAGGAAGTTTGGTGGCATCCTTGGCCTCTGTCCACTAGATGCCAATGGTCCCTGAGTCGTGTGGATCAAGAATGCCTCCAGACATTACCAAGTGCCACACGGGCAAAATCAGCCCCACTGAGAAGCAGTGCTTTAGGGAATTAGCTATTCTAGAATCCAGTGCCTCTGTTTGTAGCTTCTCTGACAGCTTTAGTTACAGAGCAAGCACAAGCCTTGGTACAGGGACAAAGAAAATGTGGGTGATGTCCAGCCTGCCGCATCCTGGAAAGCATGGGTGCTCTGGATCTAAAGCCATCTGGTGCTCTCAGCTTTGTCCTGGTCTGGTCTTCTGGCTGGCCACAAGCCCGCTTTTTCCTCGGAGACAATCTCATAGTAACAGTAGGCCCCTTGTGCCAGGGTCTGGAAAGGCTGTTGGCATTCCCGTCTTCGTCTTTTGAGAGAACGTGCATTATTGCTTCGGCAAGGTTTCCGAGAAAAATCCTATGATATTAAGTTATGTATTTAAACTTGCTGCCATTGTTCAGAATTCCTTCCTGTTTAAGCAACACTCCCAACATTCACTGCTCGTGATAAATTGGTGTGAATATTAAGAGGCTGCCCATACCGTGGATACCACTCCTTAGTAGCCACTGGCAAACTGATGCTTTGCATGTATGTATGAAACTAGTTTTTGTTCCCGATTTAGCTCAACCTACAGACGTCTCTTCCTGTGTATCTTTTAAAATCAAACAATTTTTCTGCTTAAGGAAACTTTGTTAACTTGAAAACATACTATAAGGCAGTCATATTTTCAGTACTATAGGATTGTTGCCATATTTGTTTTAAGCTGCATGTGTTCTGAAGAAAACTAGAAATCAAACACTAATTTGGGATAAACACCACTAGTTCTGATACTGCTCATGACACTACAAAAGCTTAGTTTCTGTGCTTATTCACCCAAACCCTCATGACTGATTTCTCTAATGTAATTTCAGGAAAACGGAATGTCAGAGAATGTACTTATTATGGTGATTATTTAGAGAACATTAAATCTGAAGACTTACTACTTAGGCACGTTATCTCATTACAGAATAGTGATTTAAATGGTTTTAAAATACAGCACATCTTACCAAAATGGCAAAAAAGAAAAAATAAATTGTTGCATTTACAATTCATTAAGTGTATTAGACTCCCAGATATAGCTAAACAAAAATTGTCTCCATGAACTGAAATAAGGCAATATAACTAATTCCGAAAGCATAATTGGCCCAAGTTTAAATGGTTTCTTTCTTTTTTTCCCCTTTTTCTTAGAGAGAGAGAGAGAGGGAGGGAGGGAGGAGGGAAAGAGAGAGAAAGAATATTACTGGGAGAGGGGCAGGGAGAGAAGGGGACAGAGGGCCCAAAGCAGGCTCTGCACTGACAGCAGTGAGCTCCATGCAGGACTTGAACTCA